AGAGAGAGAGAGAGAGAGAGAGAGAAGAAAATCCCAAATTTGACGCATTCAAGGGAATTGAGTTCAAGTTGTCCGTAAACCCACTTAAACATGGCGCAACACACTTTCCCGTGGGATACTTCCATTTCTGACATCCTGTTCTGTGGTAAACGAAGACATGATTACAATTGTCCCAAAACGGCAATATCCCATTGAAGGCATCCGCTGCCCTCCCCATCTTCGGGAGATGGAGTATATCTCGCTTCGAACGACCACTTGGGCCTACCGTCCTTCCCTGCCTTATCGTTCTCAACCTAAAGCCAGCAATAAGAATAAAAGCTGATGCTTACATATTCGTGTCCTTCCAAAGCACAAACTTGGTTGTTTCGAACTTTTCATGGGCATTCAAATGAAAACTATATGTAACAAAGTAGTCACTATGAAAATAGATCAGCAAGAACTTATTTCAGAAAAAGCTATGACAAGCAACCACGTGATGAAAATCCCAGTGAATTCGAGCGAACAAAGATTACGAACTCGATAGGATGGCAAGCCGTATGAAATCTCTTTTTAACAGTGTGTTCATGATGATAGGTAAGAAAAAATGAACGGAAATACAGATATTATCAGCGAATCACCGGTATGACGAGGCATCGTACATTGAAGTACGATCAGAGTATTTCCTAGTAAAAACAGATGAATCGACAATAAAATAGGGTTCGAGTAGAAGAACACAAGAGGAAGTAACGTACCTCATAAGTGGTTAATTCACAAAGAATTAAAGGCAATGGGAACGACTGTTGGAGGCGGGCGGCTGTTGCCAGCCTCACTGGTGGAAAAGTTGCCAAAAGACGTTTGGCCACACTCCTACTCAACCCTTCACCCAATGACACTCGACAACCGCCCGCTTCCACCCATTGTGCCCACTGCCGATAAACAGCTATTAAGAACACATTCTGAATTGGAATAAAGATCTGGTAGGGATCAATAAAAGCATTGACCGGGCCGAAATGACTGCCCTTCATAGCAAACGGGAAGTATAACAAGAAGAAATCGAAAGCTATCAGCATGATAGGACTGCATACCAGAGCACGCTATTAAAAATCTTATGAAAAAATCGTGAAAAAAACACATACATCATATAACAAACTATGCAAAACCAGTATGTCTGAGACGTTGGAGCAGTAGTTACTTAGCACTATACTTTGCAGGGCTAGCACGACGTGTCGATTGCACCATTCATGGGAATAGAAGTGACGGACGGTCGAAGACCACCCATTATGCGCGGACATACAACACAACAACAACAAGAAAGATTCCCTCAATATGGCCCTGTACCGAAGTCTCACTGCGATAGAGATTTTCGACAACTATACGAGACTCCGAAGAATTTGTTTCGTGAAAAAATTTTCGGATGCGAAATCGAATCCAATAGCTAGAAGAGTTTTTAAATAATTCCTGGAGCCTGGAATTGTTGCCGGATCCTCGGAACAGAAGAAATTATAGGGGCGCTATGTGCCTCGGGGGAGGCCGCTCCCCAGCGAGGCGGACCACTTCATTTCTGCTCGTCTGTACCCTCTCACCGAGATCGCATGATATGGGTAGGATTCGCCAATGTTCGACGTGGACGTGGCCCAACCTTTTCTGGACACTATTCTGGGATAAAAAATAAAATTTGTTGAAAGAGAACCATTATAGTATTAGCCATAGGTAAAATGAAGAACGAATATAAACGCGAATATATGAGATCACTTAGTGACATGTGGTCGTTGTAATTCATTGACCCTGGAAGAAACGGTTCAAAACATCCGCTTAAACAACTGCACATAGGACACAGACACACACAGACAGATGAACGAGACACACATACACACAGAAAGAAATCAGCTATGGAAGAAGCGACTGAACCGGCGCCTCACAAATGAGATCGGCAACGTCTTCTGTGACGAATTCCGATGAGGGTGGACGAAAGCGTTTTCATCCCCTCCATTGGAAAACTCGAAAACGAGGTCGCATACGACATGTACTTTCATGTACACATATAATCAAAAGTTATCCACGACGATTACTCGAGTATTCGATTCAATCGTCGCATGACATCATGCATCGCTCGCGGTCCTTCAAACGGCCAATTCCATCGATTCTCTAATCGGCCATCGCCAACATCGGATTCAAACCAGTAACACAGCCAGAACCACCTGAAATCATCCACGTAAAACCAGTTGAGGTTTTTACAAGGAAAAAGAATGTCAATTACCGGTTGTGCCAAACAATTGCTACCAGTATCTCTATATTTTTATAGATCTACCATATGAGCTAGCCCGAGTGGCTCATATATAACATCAGACAAGTGATCCAATAGAAGTGAACAGGTTTGAAAAAAAAATCCCACTTGGGGGGAAGAACAATTCGTAAAAAATAAGAACTGCCCCAGGAGTGCTCCAAACCCCTGAACACTGACGCCATATCCACGTAAAGTGAAAACACCTGACACCGCCGTCACAGGACAGTTTTGGCGCCACAGCAGATGTAACAGGCGCTTTCGCATCACGCAAATGTGACGTTCGTGTACAAGCGTCAAACTATCCATAGGGAAATGCTTTTATCACATTTCATGAGTTGGGAATTTCTTCGTCGGTGCCAGGCAGTTTCAAACTAAACGCATGAGAGCCGTGTTAAACAGGT